AGAAAGGCATGTGTTACTGTCAAGGCTGCCGAAAGGGGCAGGCATCTGACCTTAGTGACGAAGACAAGGTCAGACAAGCTGTTATGGCTGCCAAAATGGGGAGCTGATCCCTTCAAAATCTTGATCTTTTTTTTTTAAAGATCAAGATTAAATCTTGATTTTTTTAAAAAAGATACAGACAGAACACTGTATACATAACACATGTATACCTGCAGGCCAGAAGAAGGCACCAGGTTTCATTACAGATGGTTGTGAGCCACCATGTCGTTACTGGAAATTAAACTCAGGACCTTTAGAAGCACAGGTGGTGCTCTTAACCACAGAGCCATCTCTCTAGCCCCTAAAGCTTGACCTTATAGTTAACTATTCATACACCCTTATTTGATTGAACTGGAACAGTATTTTGTTTTTCTTTAATTATAGCAACAATAAGAGGGCATGTTAAATATTCTAGCTCAGATTATGCAAAAGCTACAGGTAAGGTTCTACCCTTTTTGCACACTGAGCTGTTGATCTCCAAGGACCACTAACCCGGCCCCTGTGTCTGACTGAGTGTGAAACGGCAATGGCCTTGGGCACTGAACCTTTGCACTTAACCTGGCATTCTGAGTAGAGTGAAACAATAAGAGCACTTAACGCACAGATACTCACAATGCAGCAGAAATAAGGTCATGCCAGCAGCTTTGATCACCACCGTAACAAGCCCCGAGATAATCAAGTTCCAGTTCATGATGACGGGGATTCAGGGACCTGTGAGGACCAGAGCAACACCATCACTATTGGGGACGAAACTGCTTCCTCCCCCAGTTATCAGGAGCAGAAAATTATGCTAATTTTCGGGGTCCAGACCTCTGGTTCCAGTGGGAACCAGAGGGAGCTCTAGTCTCCATTGTTTTGCAGATGCTAGCTGATTTGCTGCTGCCGAATGGCTAGCCTCAGTGGAGAATGTCCCTAGTTTTCATCTCTACAGACCTAGGCATTTTGAGTAGACCTAACCAGGGTGGAGGTTTAGGTCTACCGTGAGGAGAGACGATTTTGAGGTATCTGTTGATAGGGTCTAGAGAAAGGTTGAGGATAAATGATCTCTGGTGTTGGGAGAATGATTAGAAAGCAGTTGAGGAAGATGCTGGAATAAATAGCATGAACTGAGAGCTCTCCAAAGACGACAAGATGCCTGTGTCTGGTCTTTATCGCCATTGGGTTGCTAGGAATTTCCAAGCCCATGCTCCCCCACTTAGGCCGGACCTGGTGGCTTCTGTGGTTGGGGGCTGAGACAAGCTGGCCACATCACCCAGTGCAGCCTTCTCTCTTGCTCAGAGTACCCAAGGAAGGCTGGAAGACAGGCATTCTCGTGGCTGCTGAAAGGACATGTCCAGAACACAGATAGGAAACTTGACATGCTACCTCTCCTTTATTTTAGCATTGATTAGGTCTGAGCCTCATATCCATTTTTGGTTTCATAAATCCTGTCTGACAAATAAATCTCCTGTAATTCAACAAAGCCTGGTCTTAAAATAACCCTTGCTTACAAGCTTGTAGTCTTACCAATGCTAATCTCACTTATAGAAGCTTTAGTCTCCTATTTGTCAGCAGTATGTTACAGATGAACAGAGGACAGAGAGGCAAAGAGGCAGAGACAGTCAGACTTACCTGATATCTCTCTACAGATAGGGGTCTTTCTGATAAGCTAATTCTTGTGTGGTGAGCAGTGCTCCTTGTCTCCTGCCCATATGCTCCTGCTTGGTCAGTGGGTCCGTCCTTGTTCACAGCCTCACTGTCCTAGCAGCACTCTCACACTCTTCTTCCTGTTCGGTGCTCTTGGCAAAGAAGCAGGCAGGGCAAGGAGGGGAACCCTCTAGCTCTGTGGGAGGGAGGTTCCTGTCAGGAAATATTTCTAGAAGGATGTGAAAAACCACATGCCCCAGCACAGACTCCCCCTTCGTCTGTTAACTTTCTATTGCTCTTAGGACGAGGCTTGGCTCCTTAATGTAATATACAAATCTTGTGTATTCCTTCTTTAATGGATGTTAATTGCTCATCAATGTGCTAGATATTCTCTTAGCTTCTGGGATATGTGTGGTGATTCTGTGCCTCTCCTTGGCACCAAATCTGTCCTAGTCTGGTCTGCCAGCAATACTACTGAAATGGAAATTTTTAATACATTTTCTCTTTGGTCTCATTTTCTCATCACATGGCCACACAGCACTGACAGTATCACCTGTTGTATCTCAGGTGCACAATAGACTTTGGTATGTTCTCATTGACTAGATAATTCTGAGGCATTATTTACACATCACTTCCGTAAGGAATACTCATCTGCCAATCTTCCACTCACCTGCCTCATTTGCGTTTAGGTAACCCTTACCTAGTGTCATGATACTGAAAGACCCTCAGATTCTTCAACCTGGACGGTCGCCCAAGAACTCAATGTCCAGTCCAGTTGATGTAACACGCAAGAGGCTTTATTATAGTTGTTTAACAAGCTAACCCCATGTTAGCTCGGGCCTTTCATCCATCCACCATGGCGGGTGGCTAGGAAAGATGGCAAGAAGCCATGGCATAGAGATCTTGTAGGGCAGCATAAGGGGAGTGTCTAGGGGTATGCAAAGGCTCAGGATTGGTGTGCCTCCAGGCTTGGAGGGTTTGCCCTGTGTTGATTTGTTAACTGGTTGTTATGGCCCATAGGCCCTCCCAGGGTGGTCGCTATGCCCTGCACGTCATTGTTGTGCACTTGTCCGAAAAGCACACCCAGAGCTGTAAAGTATAGCACCAACAGCTAACTTCTGATTGGTTCCTTGCCATGAGGCAGGCGTCTGACCTTAGTGACTAAGACAAGGTCAGACAAGTTCGTGTTCAGCTGTTATGGCTGCCAAAATGGGGAGCTGGTTCCTTCAGTACTGGGTACCTGTTATTCTTTTGTTTAAATTAAAAATAAAGAAGAAGAAGGGGTGCAAGATGAGACACAGGATGAGATATATTAGACATATTAACCAGTTTATTATAGGCCTGGCAGAGTAGGGAGACTAAGAGAAGAGAAACAGAGTTAATGGCTGACTGCTATGGCAGGTCTCCATAGAGAGAGAGAGAAGAGAAGAAGAAGCAGAAGCAGACAGAGAAGAGGAGAAGAGAAGAGAGTGTAGAGGAGAGAGTAGAGAGCATAAATGGGCAGGGACCTATCTTTTAAAGGGGTCCTCTGCACCTGCTGCAGACTTAGTTCCCATGGAACCCTGGGCTGACCAGGGCACTGCCTGTTCCACCAGGTAACCGGGGCAGGCCAGCGTAATGCCTGAACCTTTCAGTACCTGTTTCTTGGGAGCAGTTCTTGCATGATTATCTTCTTGTACACTGCACTTTCTGCACTCTGGAGCTATGAAGGCTGAAGCTATCTATTCTTTCAGTGCTATAGCCCTAGAACAAACACAGCACTTTGGAGCTCTATACTTGAAAAATGGCATCTGGCTTCTAGGTGTGGTTCATTTGTGGACCTATCATTAGACCTACAAAATAGATATTTCTGATCAATTAATTTTTGTGTGTGTATGACATTACTTAAAGAAATTGGTAAGTTGGTTGTCATTGTTTTCAAAGAGAATGCAGATTTAGAGCATTTCCAAAGATACAGATTCCTGATCGAGACCCTAACTCAAACAGCCAGCACGGACTTTAGACTGTAATGACAGTACTTTGAAAGATAACTAGCCATCCCCTTGTAAACAAAGTTAACTTACTAATTGTATGTTGCTTTAACATAAATTGCCACTTAGCTTATATAACAACTCAGAGTTTATAGAAAAACCCAGTTTTTAATAAGTAGAGGTGCTCCCTAATAGAACACTGTGATACACTCAAACTGGTGTGCTGGGGAGTGGAGGTGAGAGGAAGCTATAGGGCCTGGGAAGGGGTGGTTCAAAGCCTGTGCAAGGTTCCCAGGTTCTGAAGCCTACCCGGAACAAAGGTATCATGGAAACAGTTGGCCCCTCATAGTGACTCATTAAATAACTGGAAATCCTATTGCAGAGGAGAGTCATTCTAGTTGGATGCTGAAGACATTACCTCATTAATAACATGATGTGTCATTTCCGGACTGATACAGCATGATACTCAGAAGACAGATTCTCTACCCACGAGTCTTTAACCAAAACCAGAAATAGTCACACACACAAAAAAAAACAACCCATCTTTCTTCTTTGAGTCTTGTAAGCTTTGACCCTTCTGGTGCCTGTCAGTAGCTATCAGCAGTGTGAATGTAGGTAAAACTTTCTCATATCTCTCTTAAAAGTTTAACAAAAAGGAGGCTGGGAGTGGTGGTTACACCTTTAATTCCAGCACTTGGGAGGCACAGGCTAGCCTGGTCTACAGTGTGAGTTTCAAGGCAGCCAAGGGCTACACAGAGAAACCCTGTCTCAGAATCTGACCCCCCCCAAAAAAAACAAAAAGAAAAGAAAATGAATGCAGATGTGAACATAACTTAAAATAAATTCAGCATTAGAAAAGAAAGAATTCAATTCCCATCTAAGAGTCAAAAGCTCACAAGTAGAAAATATTAGAGCACATCCATGCTTTAAAGTGTTGCAGGAGACTGACTCCATAAAAAAAAAAAATGCCACTAAATACACAAGACTTGGAGGTTTAATTGGTGATTTGCAAAAACAAAACAAATTAGTGGGACAAAGGATTCTGAGTGGTATATTAGATACTATAGAAAAATGAGAAAATCACAAGTTATCACTGACAGCCATTTGTCAGAGTAGAAGGAAAAAAAGATACTTAGCAAAGAAATATAGAGATATTAATGTCGGATCCAGTGAAAACTACAACTAGAGATACCATTATGAAGTAGATTATAGAATAACCTTTTTATACAAACGATAATGATGAAAGCCAAATCAACTAAAAATAAAAAAGAAATAGGATTTCCATTGCAAATGAATTAATCATGTTATTGTGAAAAAACTTTTTCTTTTTTTTTTCTTCTTGCTGATAGCTTGTTTCCCAAGGGATGTTTATGGAATATAGGAAAAAATACATCATTTCAATAAAGTCAACGTGAAAACCTATTCTAGTTTGATACACAGTTGCTGAAGGTAAATAATATGGCTGAGACCTTAGTAGAAAAAAATTAGCTATAAAGATATAAGCAATATAAATAATAATGGTAGGTAGTTAGCAATATTGATTTGTAGTATCTATAAAAGCTTCTGTACTATGAATTAGCCTAAAATGTATAAAATATCCAGGCATAAGTTATTTTCATGTGCTACAAAAAGCCTCGCTAGTATACTGTGGAAAGTTCAAATTGGCAAGCATGATTAGATAGAAGTTCTATGAGGAACATCTTAAAGCCATGCTTAACAGTGAACCCAAACCACTGTGGCCACCTTTCCCAATAACAAAGAATTGAAATCTATTCATTGCACCATTTATCAGGAAATACATTATGCTAACATGTTCATGAATGTGGTAACTAAGGCTGGATGTTACACAAACTTGAAGGTCTGGAATCATAAAATTCCTAGGGCTTGTAATGATGAATTGGATTTATGGTACAAGAATTTTTATTAGCATTAGAATGAACAAGAAGTGTGTGTGTGTGTGTGTGTGTGTGTGTGTGTGTGTGTGTGTGTATGTGTGAATACATGCAACTTAAAGCATACCATATTCATTGGCTCTAACAGTCACTGAGGATATCTTCTTTACAATGATAAGAAGGTGTAAATGGAAGTTTCTGTC